AATTATGCAGAAATTTAGAAAGAAAAATCTGTATAAACCCTCATTGTATATTAGTTTCACAGTAGTGACTAAATATACAGTTATTAAAGAATTTATAGTAGTTGCATACGAATAAGTAATCAGATTAATAAATTAATAATAAGACTAGCATTCAAGGACAGCCCTTAATGGAGTGTAGCCTGCTATCTAAGCCAGACAGATGTGATTCTTTGAGCAATATTTGCATGTTGGCTGTAGACTGTAGCCAGTAGACTGATGCCAGCTCACATGCAGAGACTCGTGTGAATGCTTCTACCTCAGGATGCACCTGCATGTTATGTCATCTTTGTCCAAAAATCTTTAAATTAGGGATTTAAAGGGTTTTAAATGGGGTTGTGATGGTCTAGATGCATCCATTTAAAGATGAAAAAGGTTCCTTGTGGTTCAATCAGGGGTCTTGCCAACAACAGTAAAACAATTCTGTGTAAAGAATTATGAAAGCTGTAGGTTGAGCAACAGAGGTAAATTCTCCTACAAGTTTAGATAATCTCTGTGAAAGATTTCTCATCTGTGTCAACCTCTAGAGATAGTTACCCTTACATTTACTGCCTCCAAACTGTATAAATTCACTCATATCTATGTGGAACATTTCTACTATTAAAATTATTAGCAGCCACTGCAGATTTTTTCAGTTTTGATATTCTTTGCTGTGATATATTTATGACAGCATGTGCCAGATTTTTCTCAAATCCAAATGCAAATTTGAAAATGCTAATTAATTTGTGTATTTACAATGCATTTCCTATGTGAGTGTGCATCATTTAAGACATCCAAATTCAATTCAAATGCAAAATATGTATTTGCATTTCTGTGTATAATGGCTGGAAAAGTTAACATCGAAAAGCAAAGTGCTTTTGACATTCATTTTCAGTGTCTTAATGGTGTGAAATTTGCCCATGCTTGTGCAGCCCCAGGCTTTTCTAGACGGTCAAGAATCACTTCTGCAAGAAGCTGCAGGAGATCACTAGACAGATTCATGCTCGGCCTGGTTGGCAAGTGTTAAAATGTCAGTAGCGGTGGTTTCTAATTCACCATATTTTAGACTTTTTCTTCACTTTCTTCTAAAACACACCCTTAACAAAAAATTTCCTCCCTACGTCAGACCCACAGCGTTCGATTGACAGGAGTGCCTCATTGACAGTGAAAATGCCAATGCTAACAGGGTTCCAAAAATACATTTTAATTTGGGCAGAGCTGGAGCGCAACAATGAGGAACTGCAATTGCAAATGGGCGACTGTTATTCTCTTTGTAGTATGTCACAGTCAGACCATTAAGACAGTGAAAATGAAACGTCAAAAGCACTTTTCCATTTTAACTTTGTCCAGTCATTATGTACAGGCATGCAAATGAAAACACACATCCAGAATTTGGTTTATGTCTTAAATAATGCATACTCATTCATATAGGAAATGCAATTGTAAATACACAGTTTAATTAGCATTTTCAGGTTTGTGTTTGCACTTGAAATAAGTCTGAAATATGCTGCCATAAGCGATGCTGATATTTTGGTTAATTTCTTCCGTGAGGTGACCGTTTTGTTTATGTAAAGACTGATCAGTATGCTTAGTGAAAAACAAATCTGAGCACAACTGAATTATCGCCAAAGGCTGTGGGGAACCTGCATTGAGCTAGATTTCCTGTATCCCAGTCTTAAATGGTCGTATAGTTCAAAAATTGCGACAAAGCCGTCTTTTATATGGGTAAACTGCATGGGTCCACACCTATGAATCTCAAGAAAAAGGAGTTTCAGAATGATTTTACCTGGTGATGATCTACACAAAACATTCCCCTGCAGCTTTTTCGACAGTAGAATATTACTTTCTCTATTCCTAATAAATATGAATTTCAAAGCCTGGGGCATTTTTTTGGGTGGGGACCCAAGCTTGACCTTTGTTTGGCATGTACCATCAGCATGTAGGTATGGATGATGAGGGTTAACTCAGGCAGATGTGGAATGTTACATTACAGTGAGAGAGGGTGGGTCTGAGTCAGTATAGGTACTAATGAAGACCTCATCTACTTTATATCTGTAGTAATGAAATGTAGCAGTTCTCTGAGCTGGAAAGTGTAGCATAAATGTTTTTCAGTGTAGCATGTATGTTTGCTCTTTGTCTTTTTTTAGTCAATTGATGCGCATTTGTCCCACAGTGTTGTAGGTGACGTCTTGCGCAAAACATTTGGCTGTAGTGAGGGACAAGTTGCAACCGGATCCACTTGCAGAGACTGGATTAGTGCTTTATCACTGTATAAACTACCCTTTAGATGATAACATTGACATTCAGCCATGCAGAAACCTCCTCCTCCCTGTTGCTGATTCTAGTGCTTTGTACACTCCTGCCTTCATCCACTGATTTCAACACAAGGATTTTTAAAGGTGTTTTGTTTATGTTATGATATTTGCTCTTGAAAGCAAACCCTTTCACGTTCCTCTTGAAATCTTAGAGCAGCTTTCGTAGCCCGTTGTACAGCTGTATAGTTCCAAAATCGCTATAAAAAACTAGTTTTATATTGGTAAACAGTAAGGATTCAAACCTATTCCAAGGGCATATGTGAGCATTTGATTCCCAATAAAGAAGGGCTGCTCTAGTGTTGATTACTTTAAATGCAGCAGACTTTGAGGGGTGGAATTAGACATTTTGAGAGGTGCACAGACAATTTTAGGGGTTGAAGCTCAAGGTGGGGGGCTACATTAAAGCAAATTAAACTTAATTTAATTTACTGTATAATACTCTTAAATTATGCTTACCGAGAGAGACAGTGTAATCATGTTTCAGGTAAAAATACACTTTTTTTAAAGGCAGCTGAAACCAGTAACATCGCTATCTATGCAGAGATTGAAACCTCAGCATGCAAAGCCTGGGTGTTACTCACTACAGTGTTTAATCAGTTCATGGCATTCAGTCATAACTCTGTTTGAGTGCTCTACAGAGTCTTGTGTAAAACCCTGTTTTCTATAGAAACCAAAACTTTTCAGAACACCGGTTAGTGTCAATATTATATTTAGTCGTTGTTCAAAATAACCACGTGATGCTGGAACGTCATGCTTTCTTTAAGAGATGATCAGCGTTTTGGATGAGAGGTTGAAGTTACTGAGGACAACCACAAGCAGTCAGTACTACACCAGGGGTGCTCGTAGAACCCAAGCCGTACCACAACCTCTATTCCCGGGGCAAAACTAAGCTGAGAATCACTGAAACGGTTGTTGAAGAATGGCTACATAAAATACGGTTATTCTGCTAACCAGCCAACCAGAAGGGCATATATAGTCTAAGGGGGCAAAGGGGCACATGGCTGGGTGGGATCGAGATATGGTCATTTTGGTATAATAAAGTGAACACATACAGACACACTCACTTTTAAGTTAGAGTTAAATAAACTGGACGCTCCCACCCAAAAGTGATATACTGTGTACTGTGAAATTTAATGACAAATGACGTGAAGATGTTTAAGGATTATTTTGTAATTATTTCACACAATCAGTTAATTCAGTGTAGATCCACCCAGATTTCTCCCGTATGAGACTTGTTTTTTAAGACATTTCTTCTAAGAATCAGTGAACACGGGTTGTAAGAGGTGTCATGCTGCCAGTTGGGCAACGTGGGCAGCCACGGTTCCTGAGAATGACTCGAAAGCTAACGTTCCCACAGCTTTGTATATATTTTTGTACATTGAGTGCAATGTTTGAGCTTGTTGAGGAGCCATGTGTTTTGCTCGGAGTCAGTTCCAGGGAAACGAGCTGCCGCAGTTTGGTCTTCCTCTGCATCTGATCTGCTCTGGTTTGCTTGCTTGCTCTTTCATACTGGAAGGTAGTTCACAGTTCGGCAGTTTTACCAAGCAGTGCCAGGTGTTATGGACAGTGCCTTTTACAACATGAAGAACATTATGATTGTGTAAACACATTTTCCCCACAGAAGTATTATCCTTTTCTCTGTTGTGGCTGCCAGGCAGCATCTACATGAGTATCAGCGTGGAAAGAGTCTAGCATGGTTTGGAGAAGGGCATTTGAACCCAGTATGGGTTTCAGCGTGATACCAGGGTGAAGTGTAAATTCTTTGCTTTTGTTTTGACCCTTGAGCCAGAGCTGGTGATTGGCTCAGGGAGCTGAACGCTGTGCTTCTGACTCCATATAAGGAATGACCCTCAGCACAGGAAAGCTCTTTCTCCTTGAGATGAGAAAATGCATCTGCATCCAGACAGTAAGAGTGGTTTTATTTTTGTCACGTTGTCGTTTTAGCACACTGGGCTATTTTAAAGATGATTTCACACTGTGGATGATCTGCTGCAGCTCTTTGTTTATCGATGTGGCTTGCAGTTCTCCATGTCATTTGAATAATGGTGTGTTTGTGATAATATATTGATATGTGCAAAATTGTAATGTTTATAATGTCAGTGATGTTCAAGTTGATTGTAGACTAATAATCTGGGTTGTGAAGAAGGCAAAGAAAAACATGTAAGGTTGGCTTTTAGTTAATCAGTTAGTCTGATACCAGTAGCCAGTTTGTAACATAGGCTACTTACATTGTCACTTTTCTAAACTGTAAACAGCAACTCATGTCTTTTCTGAGATTTATGGAGTCCTTTTAGAAGATTATGGTGTAATTAACACATGCAGTGTGGTTAAAACATAAAGCGTTGTCTGGTCCCTGAGGCAGGAACACTATTTAGTGCATCTCTAGGCTGATGTACATTAGCTTTACAGTGTACTTTAAAGTGTCTGTCAGTAAGTTTGAGAGGTGTTAGCTCTGCCCCCCACAGCCGAGCAGCTGCTGGAGTGCATCTCTATCACTGTGCGTGTGTGTGTCAGTGCAGGCAAGTGTGTGTGAGCCTGTGAGCGTGTGTATATTGGGGACAAATTTCCCAAAAAAGTTCGCCATCCCTCTCATCCCAGAAGATCAGAACAAACAACGACTGATGCAATGCATGTTATCTTGTGTACGCTTTTAGGATCCTGTGTGCTCACTGTGTCTGATGACGCAGGTGAGGAGGGGTGGGGCGGGGGGGGGCAACAGCTAACAGTAGAGAAGTCCTGATTGGCTAGAGAGGGCCCTCCCTCCACACTTAATAGCTGCCACTCACCTGCAGGACTAAAAGCTATCCTTCTCCCTCCTGCTGTCAATACGGAGCCCCATAACCTAACTGTGAGTACCTGAATGCAATAGCTTCATATACACTGTAACCAGCCATAAACACCCCATACATTTGTTATTGCTTTTGTACATGCACCTCGTTTAGTGATTTTGTGTATGCAGCTGTGTTTGCTAGGTGAGAGTTCAGTCGTGTCAGGGACTGTCACTGTCTTTTGTCCCCTGAAGGGGGAATCCGTGGCCTTGCGGTTGGTGTCGTAACTGCCTACGAGCGTGGGATATTGGTCCTAGTACAAGCTAACTTTGAAGACTGTTTTTCCTGTCGTAAAGGGTGCTAGCCTCACCCAGCTGCCCCGCATTTCATGCAGAGTCAGCATGTGAGACTCCTGTGAGCGCACGCTCCGTTTCACTGTGTACTCTGCTTCATTTTGCATGTTCTACTGCAATTGTTCTTTAAACTGGAATTCCTCTGATTTTTCAAAAGTGTCGGCACAGTTTTTTCATTGTAAAATGTAAAGAGGCATTCAGAGCGTTTTAGTGTGTAATGGTTTATTAGAGGAACCACTCTATTCACTATCACATGAACCTACACATGTCTTATGAGTTTCTGTATGTAATGTTTAAAATGGTAAAGAGATAAATTTGAAAAAAAATGTTTCTTTAAGTGCCTTTTTGCTGTACAACGCCCTGCATGTACCACTCTGCTGTGAATGGCTATTTAAAATTTGTTTTAAGCCAAGAACTTCTCATAAAACTATGGTAAAACAATTTCTCAGGCATCAGGCCATGAATTCGTGACTATTTCCTGTAATAAATTTCTTTGAGGTACCTTATAGAGGCATTAAACTCTTCAGACATCCGGTTACTGTCATCACCACTTACAACAAATCTGTTTTGGTGAGCTTCTCTACAGTGACGCATTTCGCATAAAACTGAGGTTGTTTACATATTAACCATTTAATTTTGATGCTGCAATTCCCCTTTAAATCCAGATAAATGCATTTCGCAGTGTTGTTGAGGAGAATGTTAGATGCTAAGTGGTTTATTACTGTGACAAACTTACTAAACTGCAGTAAGACTGATCCTTTTGACTTTACCATGTGAAACGTGTAAAGCTGGCCATTTTGACTGTAAACGACTTGTAGTTCAGAGTAGACAGGGCTGTTAAATATGGACATCCCAATTGCTGCTTAAGTTTGTTCTCCTTTTTTCAGAGGCATGACTAGTTATGTGACAAAGTGACAAAATAGTCTACTATAATGTAAAGCATGTTTATAATCCACTTGTGAGGAGTATTTAAAAGAATAATGAAAAGCCTGAGGATTGCTGTGGTTGTGTTGTGCTGTCACATAGGTACTTTGCATGTAGTGTAGAAGTCACTGAAAGACTATTCCGCTCTTTCATTCACACTTGCAGGGCTGGTTTAGCAGGCTTCACTATGACTTGACAATGCTCTTCTCATAATGTTAAAGGAAATTTTCACGTATGTTACAAAACTACCCGTCACTACTTAGAAATATAGCTGGAAAAATAAGGAATGTACTGAACTAAATCTTGGTACTGCTGTTTAATCTGTTACAGTCTGCCTCAGGCTAGAAGGAAAGAAAATGAAGTATAAAACGAACAAATTTGGCATAAAAAATTACATAGAATTTAGAAACTAATTACAGTGTGCTGGGGAGACAGTGTATCACAGATGTAAACAGAGCCCAGCTTGCTCAGTGTTCAGTGGTCCTTTCAGTGACACTCTTGCTGTTCCCTCTTGTGGGCCAAAAGTGCCTCAGTGGAAAGTTTTCAGCTTTCCATAAATGTGTATCTCAGGGTCCGGAACAATCCTGGCTGCTCTCTGTCAAAGGGGGCTTTGTGTGAGGATGAGGAGAACTGTGGGTAATTTGATGTACGAATGGTTTGGCTACGTTGTCTTATTTGCTGCTACATTACATAATGCCGTTCTCCTTACTGGCGCTGAGGGCATGAGGGAACTGTTCCTGACTGTCCAACAGGGCACTATTCTGCCACTGCAGCTCTTATTAACTGACCCAGGGTCTCAGTTCTGCTGGGCTCTGAGCAGCTATCAGACTAGACACTGAAAAATGAGATTCGTTGAGTTCATTAAGTTCTTTGGCAGTAATTGTGTTCTTCATTTGAATCAAGCGGATAAACACATGGATCATGATAACTTGGCCAGAACTACTTGAAGCTCCTGCTGATACTCCTGAGATGTCTGAGTGTTTGGTTCTTTTCATATGCTTTGCAAAAACATTTGTTACCAATAATATTCAGTTAATATTCTGTCTAAGTTTTAAAATCCCACGGTGTCTGACATGGCTCTGGTGGGCAATTGATTCACCAGCTCTACTAGAGCAGTGGAAAGCTTGAGATCACTGTTTTAAATACAAAGTAAAAAGAAAATATTGCAGTTAAATGTATGAAATGATTCTATTATGATGCCTCTACTGTAGACTTTGTAAAGAGAGTAGAGATATCAACTAATTAGTAGGAAGCAGTCCAAAAAGATATATATTTTAGGTGTAGATGAGTCTATAATGACTGAGAAGCTGTATAACATTGAGATTCATGTAATAAAAGTAATATCAGAATGCCTTGTATTTGAAATGTGGTGATCAGACCTCAAGGCAGGCAACTTTTAAAGAAAATACTTTAAATAAATACATTTCATGAATAATCAGTAAATAACTTAATTGGTTTTCTAGAAAAGCTTAAAATGAAATAAAACCTCTTTCTAGAAAAGCTTCAAATGAAAAAATATCTTCTAGTGTCTCGTTTATAGTGATTACATCTACGCTGCATAATTATAGTTGAATAAAATAACAGCAATTATTAATATAACAGGGGATTCCATTCTTTTAAACACGAGTGTAGAAATCTAGTTTCTGCTGCAGCACTAAATAATCATCATTCATTCCTTCTCAAGATCCTTAGACTAGCAAATTCCTGATCCTTATTTATGAAACAGAACCAGGAAAGACACGCTGATAACGTGTGATTTCCATTTTGTTGTTTGTTTGGTCAGATTAGGCTCTCCACGTGATAAGGCTGTTGTGAAACTTTGGTAGGGATGGGACGGTATTAACATTCCTTATCACGATATCACCAACATTGTTGCATTTTTTCGTTTTTTGTACTGTATTAAAATATGCTAAAATATTTAAAAAGCACTAATAACCATTGAAATCATAATATTTCTCATCTCAAAGTCTACTCTTCTGCTTCTCAGCCTAGAAAAAAGCATGAACTGAACAAGCTACACAAAGCAACATTGAGAGCAGACTTGTTGTAGCTCTTACGACCTGAAGCAGGCTCACACCATGGTGACCCTCTGTTTGTGTACATAAACAGAGGGTCCATGTCAGTGTGCTTTGTCCACAACTAAAAACTCCAGACAGACCGTCCTAATCTCTCTCACCTGTCCTCTATTCCCCTGTTCCCTCCAGGAATTTATTAGGGATGCACTGTATAACATTTGTTAGTTTTTATTGCGATAGACCTTTGCAGTAGTGATATTACAGAGGTCTACGGTATGCAAATAAGCATCTAACCAAACCCTGAATGTTTTATTGTGTGTTGTGATGTTCTTCTGGAGTTTGGATGAATTAAGCATCAAAAATAATGCATGTATAAGTTTAACCATGGCACTTCATATTGGGGATGATGTGTGTGGGTACTCGGTTAACCGTTCAAGCTTCAAGCTGCCAGTATTTGAATACTTAAATCACTGTTCTCTTACTTGTTCCATTTCATCGCAAAAAGCTGGAGGAAATTTTCAGACTAGAATTTAATGAAATTCAATTCAACAAGACTGTGAAATATTAGCTTTTGCTTGTGTTTGTATGTAAATTACACTATGCCGATATGAAACACGAGTGCAAGCATGTTGCAAGGGACTTGTTGTTAAGGACATAACCAAGGAGGCAGTCTAGGCTAACTGCTCTAGCCGATGTTAGCAAGGTTCAGCAGTGGAAATCTATTTCTGTGACAAACTAACATGTCGACATCCTCAGCCCTTTGCTGATTTTGGCTGAAGTCTGTTTTTGTTTTTTTAATTTTGGTCATTTTTGTTGTTTTTTTTTTTCCTTTTTTTGTTTATCAGTTAACATGATATCTGTTTATTAATTGTTGTGGATACTCAAATATCAAAATGAGTCAGAATGCACTTCCCTACATCATATGTATGTTCTCCAGTGTGCTTCAAGGCTGTATTAGAACGGTGGTTCTCACACCAGTCCTCAGGGCCCTCCACATGATCCACATTCGTGCTCCGTACATGTGGATTGTGAGTTAGGTTGGGCCAAAAATGTGGAGGTATCTGATGGGCCCTGAGGACTGGTTTGAAAAGCACTATGATATAATGTGTGGCAGTGTTTTGTCCATATCATTCAGCCCTAGTATATAAGTTGATCTTGCTGTAATGAGGTTCATCTCCCAGTATTGAGACTCCTGTTAGTGATTCCTGACCTATATTTTGTCCAGCCTGGCTGTAAATGTGTTTGAAGGTTTTTCATCTCCCCCTGGCCGTCCTGACTGTGCTCTCTGACCGACTTCCCTGTGCTCTTGTTTGCAGTCAGTGTTTCCCCTCGTTTGACTGAGAAGGCTCTGTCCTGCACTCTTCTGCTTGTATAGTCTTCCCTTCTGCTTGCGCCATGGACCGTATGGAGCTGAAGCCAGTGAGCACCGAGGCGGACGACGAGAGTATGGACGAGCGCTACTCCACGCCCATCGACTCAGAGAAGACCACCATGAACGGGTGAGCAGCACAGGACCCTGACACATACACCTGCTTCCCAGACCACGTCACGTCTACCTCTTTCTGTTAATCATTCCTCTGCTGCACTGTTCCCTGTGGCAGCATGTGCTCTTAAATGTCATTCTCAGCTGTTTCCTGCTTTACAGAAGCTGTGAGGTTCACATTAAATCATTTCACAATGAGAATTGGGTTTAGTGGCTATACAGATATTAGATATAGATGTTTGTAACATTTACAGATATCAGGTCATCTCATTCTTTTTTATTTAATTGGATATTTAAATAAGGCATGTATGATTTTGAATATAAAAAAAAAAAAAAATGGAGGGGGCTGTCCAAGTAGCCTGTGTGTGGGAACCACTGTCCATGGCACATGATTTCCATTGTTCTTCTCCAATTAAAGCTTGTGTCAGTCCTCTCCTGTCTCCCATAATAACCTGCTCTAAATTTCATTTTTACAGCCAGTATATGGATGAAGACGATGCAGAGAGCCAGAAGTTCCTTGCAAATGGAATGAAAAAGAAGACATTTGAGGAAGAATATGTAAGAATATTTTCATAAGTCACAAACATCCTATTAAATGTATTAAATGATAAATTTCATTTTGAAAAGAATCACTGTATATATTAAAATAGTTCAGAATGGTCCACTAACCACAAATAAGACAACAGTTAATGGTGCTAATGGAAATTGAGAAGAGGGCTAATAACTACATATAATGCATATATCTTAATGTGTATATCCAATGTTAGGGTTTTTAACCAGTTTGATTGAAAAAGACATTAACACTTAGCATATGTGAGATTGTGTGCACTGATTTTGTCTTATTTTTCCTGTTGAGATCTTGAAAATTTGTTAAAAGCTATTGAATTTAGTTTTTTTAATTGTGCAACAGTGCTGTTATTGCAGTCTCAGTCTGTGATAGATGTAATTTTACAGAAAGGAGAGCATATTTCTGAAATGAGGCACAGCAAGTATTTTTCTGACAGTTTTATTAACTTTACAGGGAGTACAATTTTGCACATTTTAATGCACAATTACTTATTACTTATAATTTGCTGAATTTAACATTCTAGGGGAAAAATATATAAACATGAAATGTGATCTGTGCAAAAGTTAATATGTTAAAAATTGTGCACAAAAATTTGCTAAAAAAATCCCACGTTGCAGTGTACTACTCTGTAGAAGATGTATTAACTTGTTATCACTTAGTAAATGAACAAAACATGTCATTTGAGCAGGATTACCCAACTTTTGTATATGACTGTATATATTCCACTACTATAGATAGTTTTTTCCTTTGTGTTTGTGTGTTTTTTGCATTTTAACAGTAATTTTATATGAAAATTATCGATTTGTGATTACGTTTTTAATAAGGATAGATAAAATATTCTCCTGAAAGATTCAGGATCAAATGAAATTGTGAGGTCAGAAATTTACACTCTTAGGTGAATTTAATGACCACTTTCTCTCTCTCCCTCCCTCTTTCAGCACCCAGGTCATGCGTCGTTTGGGATGTCTGCTTTTAACCTCAGTAACGCCATCATGGGCAGCGGTATCCTGGGCCTGTCTTTCGCTATGGCCAACACCGGCATTATCCTTTTTGTGTAAGTGAGCTACTGGCCGTTGGGTCCAGTGTGTGAGATGTGGATGGAGTGTCAGTGCAGCTGTGTGGGGTCTCTTGAGCCGCATCCCAGAGTGGACACGTTCCGGTTACTCTGGATATGTAGCAGAGTCGAGACAGACGCCAGGGCTATTTTTGGCTGAGGACTCCCCTTCACTGGCCTCTTCCTCTAAACCTTTACTGTCCCCTGAGGGGTCAGGCAGCTGAGTGAAAGAGCATGAGAGAGAGAGGTGGACAAAGGGAGAGTAAGAGATGAAGAGAGAGCGAAAGAGGCTAGAGCAAAATGATTAGATGAGGAAAGCATGAAGAAAAGGAGAAAGAGAGAGAAAGAGAGAGAGAGAGGGTTAACTTTTTCCTTATTTGTAAAAAGTGGCTTTGAGCCACTCTGACTGACACTGGGCAGCTGGACCGCTGACCTCTCATTCTTCCCCATAGCGTGAGAATGAATAACACACCTTCATCAGTGCTCAGTCCAGCTTTCACCTGACCGGTGAAAGGGGTCAACGTTCAGCCTTGTCTCCATCACTCTTCTTCTCCTGCTCGCATCAGGCGGCTATTTCTGTTCATTTGGCACGAGGGTGGCCGGTGTACAGTGACTCCATCAGAGATATGATGGACAGGTTTTGAGGACCCCCCACCCCCCCACTGTCTCTCTTTCAGGGGGGTGTAATGTTAAAAAACACTTTTTATATGTCAAAATTCTGTTTAATTTTCATTTGTTGTTTGTTTTTTCTTTAATATTTGGGTTTCCTACATACATTATATATTTAACAAAGGAAAGGTCACTGGTCGTTTTTTTAGCTAGCTTATGTAGCTAACATCACCTACAGTAACTAACTGTTATTTTTCTGGTTAGCCTACGTGGCTAACTTTACCTAGCTAAAGTAACCTATGTAACATCGCCTAGCTAAGAAAGATAACTTTTTTTAGCTTGACTGTGTTGCTAGCAGCACTGAGCTGAGTAGTAACTGTTTTCCTAGCTTACCAA